AATCAAGCTCAACATACAAATAAAAAGTTTGGAAAGAGTTTGTTCAGCAGCCATATATCTATTTCTTACCTGGTAAATTTTAACTTTTGCAAAAACCTGCCAACTACCCAGTTAAGATCCTATTACCAATCTGTATTTCTAGACGGGTTGAGGACTTGTTAAAATGAAAATCCAGTTTAAAAACACTTCACCTAGCCTTTTCCAACAGTTTCCAATCATTCACAGGAATCATGTTATCAAATCCACACACTTAAAATGTCCCTATTAACATGTCATCAATTTTCATACATGCCCCCAAGTACATGACCATCTACCACCACCCAATAGAAGTGTCATTAAAGACTAAAATATAAACAGACACAAAAAGTATTCTTTTTCAGTAAAGGCAGATCATTGTATGCTCTGTTGAAAACCTAACACCCAAAGAATATTCTTGGTGATACTATAATAAGTTTTCAAACCATTCTCTTTGAGGCTTCCAATATCCTGTTTAACACTCTCTCTTTCAAAGAACAACCAGCATTTACTACCTCCTTCCTTTCACCAAGGGCAAAACAATTTAAAAATAAAAACATAATTAATAAAAATAAACTATATGTTTTATCTAAATCTCAGTACTTCCTTCCAAATTGCAAACTGAACAAAAGTGCCATAAGCACTATTCCATGTGACATTTAGGGTTTTTCAAATTAAACTTGGAAAGATCAAACCCTTTTCATGTCTACTTCTTTAAATACTTCCTATTTAAGGAAGAGGTTTTTAATGACCTGATGGGCTTTCTCAAAGGACATTAGAATATGACTGATCATATTCTGTATCTTAGGTACACAGAATAACGGACCTGCTATCTGAACCATAAACCGGTGGCAGGTCTCTCTGAAGAATGAAACAAATTAGTTATTTCTAAATTGAGAAATATCAGCAATTCTTCAGATCCCTGGAGGAGAAAGCACTATTTGCTTAGAACAAGGAAGATTAAAAAAAAAAAAATCAAACTTTTTTTGTCTACTTTCTATACATGTTCATATTTTATTAACAACGTATCTATCTGTATTGTACTTACTGAAATTATGATCACTGTCAATTTATTGTAACAATTTAAAATATACATTACTAAAAAAATAATGTTTTCACACTACTTTTAGCTTAACTATAAAGAAGTACCCACTTCTTCTCTTGAAGCTTACGGTTACCAAGGTAAAATTCAAATTCCATTTTATAATAAAAGAAAATGGTTTTAAGACTAAAACAACCCTCCTAATACAGACATCACACTCATATAATCCTTTAGTATCAATAGCATATGGAGAACGCAAGTTCTCCTGATGTCAATTTAATACTTTGGAAAAGATCCTGTGAGCAATTAAAAGAAAATTCCGAAACTGGGGAAGAATATATTTAAAAGTTCTTACATAAATTCTATTAGGAAAATACTTACTGAACAAACAGAATAGATTCTCTGAACATATCCTGGTCTAATGGGGAGAGGGGGGCACAAGACAACTATAAAAGTAACTGCAATAAAAGGATGACTAGTAAATGCCATAAGAAATGAAAAAGTAACAAAAGACTCAATAAAAAGTATATTAAATCATATTTTGGTGGTTATCTTAGAATGTAAATTGAGATATACTCAATGTTTATAAAATAAAGGAACTGATAAGCTATAGCAGTTTTTTACACTTTCCACTGTGTATTTTGCTTAATGATGGCTTCATTTCACATCAATATTAGAGACAGAAAAAAACTATAATATGTGCTTGAATTTTAAGTGATAATATTCCAAAGAGACAGAGTTCCTCAAGCTAATTTTTACATCACTTGCTATATGCTAAGATTTGTTAGCAATGGTAATACCAAGGGTATGTAAGCTATGTCCCTCAAGAGGGAGAAGGCTATGTGATTAAGAGGTAGAGAAGTCAGCGGGCATTATAAAGGAAGATCTGTTCTGAGCTTAGGTCTGTGTGCACTAAGTAAAATGGTCATGGCCCCAAGACAACAAGAAGGCAAATATTAATTTATTAGTCATTTGCTTTATGTGCATGAGCTGAAGAGCTCAGTCAGCTGGAAAACATAACTGCATTAGTTACTGAAGATCACCAAGAATTTAATGACATGCAAATACAGACAAATACCAATTTAAACAATGGTAAGAGGACAACTTAACTGAGAGATTAAATTCTAGATCTAGCATAAGGAAATACTTAATTTCTTGTAAAGTTAACTGTGTAACAAAAATATGCTAAAGAAAATATCACACGTGCAGAAAAATATAAAACCTATCAATCTAGCTCAATTCAAGCAAAAAATTAAACAACTACTTAAGAAGCTTCCTTTTTATAGTCACATATATAATGGATAAAGACTTGATTATAAGAATCAGTTTTACTACATTTTTTAAAAATGTATAGATAATACTTAGAATTTCCTAAGTTCAAAATTACAAAACTAGAGATTACAAATATGATGGATTGCCTTTAACCCTGAGTAAAAAGACAAAATTTATATCACTGACACCTGAAAAGGAAAAACACAGCATAAATCTACAAAAGACCCAATAATAAACTCAGATGTGATAACAAGTAACAGTTTCACAGTACTTATAGTATCAGTTTAGACAAGTTAGAGAATAAAATACTTAATCAGAGGAGAACTTGATTTGCAAACTAGGTTTCCACTTCTCCATTCTTTGGCCATTGAATAAAGCTTGTGCTGTTCCAATCTCAAGTAAGATAAAATAAATCAAATATTTAATAACAGTTAAAATATATGATATTAGAGCCATACAGAATACCAACAAATCTCTCCCAAAACTGTATAATTACCTTAGTTGTATACAAAATACTGATGCAGTGCCTACATAAATAAAAGTATATTTATAAACCCCATACAGAAAAATTTTCTATACAAACAAAGCCTGGTGAAAGAAAAGTGGAGCACTAAAATTCATTTAAATAAAGTCAATTTTCATCTTAACAGATTGGGACTGGGGTGTATAGGTAGGAACACCAACAGACCTATGATTTGTGATTTATTCAGTAACTGATGAATACCATAAAATCCTAGAAACTTTCCTCTCTGAAAAAAGACTATTGAAATGTTACTTAGTCAATCAGCATCCTATTTATCTGTGAGTTACCAAAAAAGAAAGAAAATACCAACTAGGGCATTTCTTTTTTTAACAGCTTCCTCAGAAAATTTATATTATGAGCAACCTTAAATCCTCTTGGGAAGGAGGCAAGACAAACATTCAGGAAGAAAGTAAGCCATTAAATGTATACAAATAGAACAAACTGGAAAGACAAACTATTAATGAATATAAGAGCCCCCTTTCAACTTGAAAAACACCATCCCAAAGCAGTACGACCACACTTCAACTCCCTTCTAGCGTTAGTTTAACGTCAACCATTCATCCCAGAGCAGAGCCATGAAAAGCAGCACAGCTCACTGAGTGACACCAAGTTCAAACGGATATGAAGAAAGTAGTACAGTGCCAACTATCAGAGCTACATAGAAAATTGGTATCAATTTATAACAAATTCTCCAACCTGTTCAACTGTTCACATCACCAGATAATGACAAAGTTTCTAGCTCCTCTAGAAACACTGAAAATCTTGGAAAAGAAGTGGAATTCACTGTCCACTTGCTTCTCTTGAGTCAATTTAAATCCTTAAAACCACAAGCCAATTTCCAAATATTCAGCAAATGTTGCATTTATCAACAGCATTCACAAACATTTGCATACACACACACACACACACACACACACACAATGTTCACCAAGCTGTGAATTGTCTATCTGCTAAAGAAAAAAGCTTGCAGCATAATATAGAATCCATCACCTTTTCCACTCCTTCAAAAACCAAATAACTAGAGAATAAATATTCCAATATGACCAAAAAATGACCACAATAAATTTCACCCACCTCCGAAGACAGAAATAAAAGCTATTAAAAATTAGGGTTTCAAACACATGTGCATCAGATTCAAAGATACTAGACACTCTGTAGCCATCACTTACCTTCTCCTCTAAGGCTACATTTAACTTAAAAATGGGTATTGTATGCACACCAAATGTATAACATTCTTTACAAATGCCGGTTCTCAAATGTTTAAAAGTAATATCATAAATCTTACTTAATGTGAACATATTTCAAATTCAAATTAAAATTATGGTTAGCCTGAACTTCCATCTTAAATAAAACTTCTTAATAGAGATTAAGCAGTAATGATAATTCTTCAAATCAAAATATTTTAACAAGAAAATAAATATAAAAATTTGTTTGCACAGAAGTACTCTTTTAATTCATAAGGAAAACCTCATTTAAATGAGGTTGCCCATGATAAAAAAGAAAGAAAATTAAGCACAGATGAATTATTTAAGAGCATTAACATGTGCCCTATAATACTGTAACACAGCTACTACTCCAGTGAATATAGACCCAACACACTGACTTGCTTGAGGAAATACTTAGCAGTTGCTTTTTCCAGTTTTAAACTAAAATACTTTCTTCTGGGTGAAAAAAGATTGGGTGATTTCTCATTACATAAAATCCCAGAAGATATTCAAACTACCACCGGATGCTTTATCTTATCATTTATATCCTTTGACAAATGGGAATTCCTTTACATTTAACTCTTATATAGTTATCTCTGTTCTGAATCACCACCAGAAAGCAACAGGCTATGCAAAGCACAACTGTACATCAGAAACGTCTTTCTGCCACAAAACCTATCAGCCAAATAAAAGCTTCCAACTGGACTCAGAGATACATACAATCACCAGACTCAGAGATACCTACAAATAAAACAAACTTATTCAAGACTACACATTCCTTCAAGATGGAAACTCTAAAAAAATTAATAAACCACAAATATATCTGAAATCCAGAAACTTCTCCCCCATGTCTTAACATAAAGTAGAACAAACAAAAAACAAACGCTCTTTTTAGAAATCTGTAACTAATTACATTTCTAAATCAGCACATTAATAGTCTTACTGGTAAACTTGATGGTCTTTCTTGTTGTATTAAGTTCAAGTCTTCATGGTTAGGTTTTCCGGGAGCCAGAGGAGGTTGAGACCTCGTTCCATAGCCTTCCTGAGACATGTCCTAGACAAACACAAATGCAAAGCACTTCAGAAATTTCTCAGCGGGTTATGCACTTCTCCGGTAAAGAAAATGTACCAAAGGCTTATCACGAACTATCAACTCATGTTACATTTAATCAGACATATAAGTATTTTACAGCTATCATTTCTGTAACATTTTATCAAAAGCAAAAACAAAATATAAAAAGTACTGAATCTTCAAAAGCAAAAATACATATAATTAACAACTAAATTTATTATGCAACCATACAAACTAAAGTCCGTATTTGAGTTTTGCAGGAAGGTGACAGTCAGTAAAAGATGGGGAAGAAAGCCAGTTATACTCAAACTCAAACAAGAGGAAACCAAAAGCTCATGGTATTATTCAATTCTGACTTTGGCTGAACTGTCTTTAATATTACCTTGAAAATGTTAAAGCAATCAATGAAAAATTTACTATCAACTGACTTTTAATATGCCCTGTCGGTAACCCACAAAAACAACATAGTTATTAAGCTCACAGTATTCTGAAGCGTCTACAAAACCAATAAACACTCATGTACAGAATTCCACATGTTCCCGTGGCATACTTTCCAGAGAACCACAATAAAGAATAAAATAGTAGTGGGGAACAAAACACACCCCAAAAACCTGCTGAGGTGCAAGAAGCTTACTGTTAACATAGCCTTTCTGGCACCCAACTGAACCTTTTTCCTGGAGGTATTCTGCATGGTTTTGGTATGAGGATGAAATCATGTTATATAAACCAAATACTACACCACACCAAGCTTACTGGAGACCAGATCTCTGGCTGTCTCATGTACACTCAGTTACTAAACATTCAACCACCATTTGTACCTGAAATCAGACGGCAGGACGGAATGTTAAATGCTCATTATAGCATGTCTTAATTGGCACTGAGAGTTGAAGAACCAGTTTCTGATTAGAGAGGAAAAAAGAATGGAAAATATCACTTAAAAATAAAATTCTCTCCCTTCCTCTGTCAGCTTAAATATGTGTTAGAATTAAAGAAACATTATATATAAATTCTACTTCTGTTAAATCCTCAAAATATTACTTTAAAAATTAATGTTAATCAGTTGAAACCCTATAAAAAGCTCCTGCTGGCCTACCCTTTCTCACACGGTATACACTTAAAATTACACAGCTTCTGAAGCCAAGAAACTTTGCACCAATAGCTGGTACTAAAAGCACACAAGCTGTACCAACTAGACTTAACTAGCCAAGTGCTGGTGCAACCTGCCTTCACACAGGTTCTGAAGAACATGCCAACAATCCAGCACTTCCCCAGCAACTCGTTCTCTTCACATAAACCTACACACATCTACACGCACACAATCAATCAAGATACCTAACCGCTACCAGTGATGTAGAATGCCCAGTCAGTACTGCACTCCTGTAAGAGAATCACAACAAGGTGTCCAGGTTTTTATCTGATAACAGTTAGGTGAGGTCTCTGAGCACAGGCAATCCAAGGATACTTAAAAGGGTAACTCTTCAGTCTGGCTGCTGGCAGAGGGTAACAATTAGGCTGCAGGGGACAAAAGCCAAAGATGATTACCATTCTCACACCCTACCCTCCACACACACCACTTGCTCTGGATCCCAGACTTTCACTTGTCACATGGACTTCCAGCTGCGTGTCCTGCAGGTTCCTTTAGATTAACAGAGAGGATTTCAAATCAAGCATGGCACAAGGCCTCCATTCAGGGGCCTTCACTCTGTTACAAAAACCCCCACAAAGGTGCAGGACAGCCTCACAACGGGCAAACAAATGAGCAGATCCCTGCCTGCGCCTCAAACACGCGTCTGTGCACACAAGGTTTACGGGCAGTGCTCAGATACTTGTTTTAGTAAACTTCTGTTAAGAAACAGGAACAGGCAGGCTCACATGCCCTCTGCTTATTAGCCTTTTAAATTTCCTTTTGTTTTCTCTTTGTAGTTAAATGGACTGATTTTTAAAAGAGTTGAAAAAGAACATTACAACTACAGTAAACACACATTTTAATTCAGATGCTGTCCCCGCTAAAATAAGCAGCACTGAACTAACAGACTAAGAAAGCCATCAGAAAATTTTACTATGACTTTACATTTCATTTTTTAAGGCTTTCCTAACCACACGAGGCTTTCAATTATTAAATACAGTTGGAAATAAAACCAACAAAATTTAGTGAGGATCACTGAAAATGGAACTTGCTCTGCCTCAATTTAGGTTGAGCAGAAGGGTTCATTTAACTGAGAGAACATCCAGAAAAGGTAACCAGGTTTTAACCTAAAACAATCATCACCTGAATACAACTTACACAGGGGCTATAAAGTCTACACTTGGCAGCTTTAATAAAGAGATAAAAGTTCTATCTCATAACAGACCTGTGCTTTTTCCCCTTCAGAGCTATATTCACTCTCTGGTAGGTACTTATTTTCATCTCAGGAAGAGTAAGTAGGAATAAATAATTTAATAGACAATTCGAGGGCAGTGTCAGGATCAGAAAATAAGAACTACGTTGAGCATCACATGTTGTAAACAAACAACAAAGCATAAACAAACCAGTAAGTACAGCTTTCATTTTTAACACATCATTGCCATCTCTGTTATTACTAAGTTTAAACCAGCACACACTAGCTTGTACACCAGTTCACACACTAGTCATTGCGTTCTTCTGCCATATGTACACACAGCTGTGACTGCTGAAGAGAATATTACACTGTGATAATACTGCAACACAGAAGAACCACACAAGGGGAATGTGGTTGACCCTCTCAGAGTCCTTTATTAGTATTATTTTTCTTCAATTCACCCACAACTTTTCACCATTGATGGATTCTGGTTTTAACCTTCTTTATGCTGTGGGTCAAAGGTAAAGGGAGACTGACTCAAGAAACAACAGAAGTGTGAAAAGAGCTAAAGATAGGGGCACTTACACATTTATTTCAGAAGTTTTCACTTAGATGTTTTACTTTTAACAAATGTCTAGACATTTATACTGAAAACCTTGCATGGACCACTCCCTTTGCTGGGTACTTAACATCTTACAGTGTGATAACTGTCACCTGGGTACACTGGAAAGGTTAGGAGCAAGAGTGCTTCTTTTCTTTTATAATGAAAGAATTAAGTACTAATGGCAACATGAGACTCTGAAGAAAATGTAGAATAAAATGTCCAGGAAATCTTTCAAAAATGAAAAGGGAAAAATATTCCCGTGGTATGCATTTGAAAGATACCAAGAGATAAACAATGAAAAGAAAGATTGCCTCCTCCTTCCCATGATTCCCTCCACAAAGGTTCCTGCTAACGGGTTGTTATTTATCTTTCCACAATCTTTCAGTGCATAACCAAGTACAAAAATAAATTTAAACCCCTCTTCCTTCAAAAGCAATGAGGATATATTTTTGTACACAGTCTATTCTTTGGTCCCTTAGCAATACATTGTGGATTGCCTTATTTATCTGCATCTAAATATCTACTTTATTCTTTTTATTATGCTACATAGTATTGTATTGTTTGTCAGTCCTGTGGCTTATTTAACCAGTCCCCTATTGATGGACATCTAGGTTGTTCTCAGAACATCCTTGTGCAAACATCTTCAAGTGAAATATTTCTGTAGCATAAATCTCCACAAGTGGAATTTCTGCCAAAGGGCTGGTACATTTAAAATTTTGATGGAGGCTGGCAAAGTGCTCTCAACAAAGAAAGTGTCAATTTACACTAACAGTCCATCACTCTACTAAAGATGTTTATCTTAGCATCACAATATGCCTAACCACAGTATAAAAGGCAGCAAACTGAGACTGGGAAGAGGTGGGAGGGTGGGTAGACAGTAACAAAAGACAACAGCTTAGACAAACAAATGGCTGTGGTACCAAGAGGCTGGGAAGGATAAGTCCAGAAGTTAGCAAAACCTGGTTGTCTTTAAAGACCTGCAGGGAGCTTCAGATCTGAAACAAAAAGCAACAGGGAGCCACTATGGCTTCTAGATCTAGAACATGTGATTATTACCGTGATATTTAAGAGATGTTTTCTCAACAATCAAATGAAGTACAGATGTACCCGAAAGAGAATGGTGATGGCACTTACTACTACCACAGTGATCCAGAGTGAGGTGACGGGGATCTCAGTAGCCTCAAAACACCCTGCAACGTCTAGCTCAGAATAATTTCTTGCTCCTTTTCTCTTCCTGCTTTGTGAACTCCTACCATCAACCCCAACCACCGACGGGACACAGAAAGGGTCCCTGCATGTACGACGCGGCAGTGGGGGGAGACGGGCTCAGCTCCACAGAGACGACGCCCACTGGCCACGCAGGGCTGCCCCGCGCAAGTGAAACCGTCACTCTGCTTGAGAAACTTTGCGTGCTACTGACCTATTTTTAGTTTGTACATTTATAAATTTAAAATATCCTCTCCAAAAAGAAAACAATAAAAATCTATAAAGAACCTATTTTGAGAATGGTGCCGTCAACCCACCTGCGTCCTCAGGAACGCCCTAATGGAAACACTGCTGCCAGGCCAGCTGACACTGCAGGCGGGGCTCTGTGACAGGCACCGAGCAGCCTGTCTATACGACAACCCCATGAGAAAGTCCCTATTACCCATCACCTTGTCTTCTACCATGAAGAAACAAAACCTTAAGCAACTCGCACAGCTAGAGTCTGAGCACAGGGCTAGTAGCTCAACGTGGTAGACAAATCCCCACTGTACTTCACAGACAGCAGGAAGCTTCAAGCACCATCATAATAAGGATTTAATCTAAGTTAACTTTTTAAGGTATTATCCTACACTTCCTCTTATTCTCCTAAATTCCTCTTTCAAAAATTATAACTTAAGTATTTTATATATGGGATACTTCCAAAACATTCAATTACAATATTATGAACAGAAGAAATATTAACATTCAAAACCCCCTACAAATTTGAATACAGGGCCACTCTCCCTACCACTCATTATCATCAAATAGTTGTTTCAAGCCCACAGGCTGATGGAAAGCAAGATAGAGAGACCCAT